ACCTCAGGTAAATGTCACATGCCTCTATCTGGGCAGGCCAAATCTACCTCAGACAAATGCCAACTCCAAAATAAAATAATAATGATTCTTTCTCTCTAAGCTCTCTCTATGTCAACAGTATCTTGTTAAACGGGAGGTCCCCAGCCACGGCACAGGAGGTCCCCAGCAGCAGCACGGATGGACAGCTGCAGAACCAGGAGACGGCAGAACGTCGTTCCAGGACCTCCACCATCATCCCCAGATTTCACAAGGTACCCCTCACCCCCCCCAAGAACCAACCAACGCCCACTATTCAGCTGGAAGCAGTCTTTGAGAGAAATGTCACCCCCGTACCCAGTCAACCACAATTTTTTCTTTTTTTTAAAAAATAAAAGAGTGGGGAATGAAGGGTTCACAACATGCCCCCCCCCATGGTCGCATTTACCAGGCGGACACTTCCGCCTAGCCAATTCCGGTCAGGCCGGACACCTCCGCCTAGCAAGTTCCGGCCAAGGCATCTCGCGTGACCAGAATCCATGACGTTACATGGCTACGTAAGCGCGCAACGTGACCATGTGATCTACGCACATGCGTGGTGTAGTGACATGACCTGGCCACGCCCCCAGCCGGTTTTTAAAGCGGAGCGCCATATTCCCGGTTCTCTCTCTTCTCTTCCTCTTCTCCACGCACGTGTCTCTCCCACAGGCCTGAACTCTCTATCCCTTTATCTCTAATAAACTCTTATAAGTGGAAAAAAAGTCTTGGAATTACTCTGCTAAATCAAAGTATTCTGTGGAAGACTTAACATTTTCTGTTCCACCATCTTGTACCATGCTGAGGAGACTGGCATATGAGTCTTCTATTGTGCACTGTGCATGGCTCAGTACTGAGGACTCAGTGAGCCATGTTTTCCTTCTACCCAATAGATACCTGCCTGTAACTGAATTATGACATGAATAACTTGCTTCATGAAAGTCCTGCCCAAGATGTTTGTCTATTCAAGAGCCACTCAACACACTAACCCTACCCTCACAACAAAGAAAATGTAATTTTCTGCTTTCCCTTTAGCATCTCATTGTCAATGGAAAAATCATTTCCATTGAACAATTATTTGTGTGAGAAAAGCTATAGCTCAGAAAATATGTGATCAAAATATCCTTTCTCTCATGCATGATTCTTGTGAACAAGAAAGGAGAGAAGTGTCCTCATTTACAGTTGGAAAAGAATAGATGTGTGAATCTCTGCTCTTCCTGAAGTTTCCTGCACATTAACTTTTTCTTCACATGGGTTGTAAAGCCACATTGTGTTTAATGGCTTGTTGAATCAAGAGGGGTTACTGAATAACAGGCAGCATCCTTACTCCTCAAGAGACTTGTGCTAGTTTTATTATTTATAGATATATAAAAAGATGAATGCAAGTTCTACTTACACAAAACATACATATTAAAAATATATATAATTTCTGAGGTGATAACAGGTAAGACCTTCTCAAATGGTTGCATATATAGATAGTGTGCCAAGGAGCTCATGTGTATGCAGGACAGGAAATATTCAGCAGAAATAAAAAACAGAACACAATGAGAGAAAAATCTCTTAATATATTTTTAACAATTCTATGTGTGTGCAGAAAGAATTGGAACTAGATCCACCTTCTGGACTATTTTCTCCATCCACCACTCCTGCTGACCCTTCTCACCCACTCCTGCTGACCCTTCTCACCCACTCCTGCTGACACCCTTCTCATCCACTCCTGCTGACCCTGCTCACCCACTCCTGCTGACCCTTCTTACCCACTCCTGCTG